GAGGGGCTCAATGAGCTCTGGTTCGCGGAGTTTGGAGAGGAATCGGAGGGTATTGCCTCGAATGTATTCGTTGGGATGTTGCAGATCGTTGCGAATGCCGTTACTACAGGAGAAAATTTGTCAGACAGGAAAGGCCATGTAGCAATGGCCAGGGGCATCCTTACCAAACCAGGATCATCTCTTGCTTGAGCTTGCCAGAAGAATCATGTTTGGGGCATATTTCATAGAAGAAATAAAGCAGCTTCTTCAATGACTTGCTCCTCGACGGCATCACAAAACGAATGATGTGCATGAGGATTTGCGGCATAGGATCTCCATTCAGCATGATGGTGACAATTGTCCGCATTGTTTCCAACTTGGTCTCATCGTTGCCTTTCTCCAGCTGCAGCTTGAGCTCCTGCACGGTCGGCTGGTCGGCAGTATTGTCTACATGGAGCAAACTGTAGGTATTTTCGAGGAACGACGCCATGGTGGTGGATTGGGGGGGGAATCGGAACGAAAGAGAGCTGCAAGTTGTCAGTTCCGGGGTTGTTTTGGGGACACATCAGCACGTAAAAATAAACACCTACAGTAGGGGTAATTCTCCCAGTAATAGGAGTTTGCGCCAGATATCAAGAACAAGCAATTAGTGTAAAGCAACACCCCTCGCCAGCCCTGAAATCATTAGATGTTATGATGCGCAATGGGGAGGGACCATCAACTTGTCCCTTAATCTGGCCCCCCGGCGCCGTCTGTGTGGATGACTAAGCCACAGCCCGCCGCTTTTCAACTGCCACTTCGTCGATTGCTATCTCTCTTCATTCACTTACGACCTCTACGATTGAGATTCGCCAGGATGTCGAATGAGAATTTCTACCTCCGATACTAGTAAGGATGACATGAGTGAGCCCAGGTTTCCTCAGCTGCTGACGGTCCTCACAGCTCAGGTCACTCTGGGCGGTTTGGACATGAGTTCCTAGGTAAGTCTGCGTGCCAGTCATGATCACTTTCTTTCCTCAGTCGCTAACTCGCCTGCAGAGTTTGATCTCCGCACCATCTCCGAAGGTAGCAGCGCCGCCGTACGATATGCGAACAATTCGAACTACCGCAATGATTCCCTCATCCGCAAAGAAAGTGAGCAGGAGCATACATACCAAAAGGAAAAATGAACACGAGCTGATGGGGTATTAGTGTGTGTGAGCGATGCGCTGGTCGAAGAAGTGAAGCGTATTATCAAGGATAGCGAGATCCTCAAGTATGCACTTGGATTACCCGATAGGAAGAACACCAGCGCTGACCTCATCTAGGGAGGATGACTCCAAGTGGCCCCAGAAGAACAAGGACGGACGCCAAGAGCTGGAGATCAGGATTGGAAATGAGCACATCTCCTTCGAGGTAATCGACCGAGGTAACTTATGGAAATGGCCATCATCTAATACTGAGATGTACAGACCGCCAAGATCGGCTCGCTAGTCGATGTGACAGAGTCTGACGACCCCGAAGGACTTCGGGTCTTTTACTATCTTGTGCAAGACCTGAAGGCCCTTGTGTTCTCGCTGATCTCCCTTCACTTTAAGGTATTATCGATCCTGTCCCCATGCTTAGAACATCGTTTAACCATCCCTTGCTTTACAGATCAAGCCCATCTAAGTATTGAGCGCATAAAAGAAAATTGAAGAATAATTGGGGGTTTTGATTTGATGATACTCATCAGGCGTTCTTTTGAGGGTTTCTTGGGATGCGAACTCAATTATAGCGCCAAAAACAATGAGATTGATACCCCTCGGGCATGTCTACATTCAATCCTTTCTGGGAAATTTGACTGTCTTGTATGTTTGTAGCTGCTTGGGCTAGTATAAAAGATGCCAAAGCAAGACGTCCAATCTTGGGAAAACATGGCAGAAGATATGTAGCTTAGAAGTATTTACTCAAGTCTTAGGGCTAGTATTTCTGATAAGAGACAGGTTTATTGAAGTCATTCCTACAACAGATGGGCCTTCTCGCTTTATATATCCAATTTCCCACAAAAAGTCAGCACTAATTAATTCAAGCTTGGGCCAAGTTGCTCTTAGGCTTGAACACACTCAGGGAGCTCTTCCAGTTCCGTGTGATTTAGTTTCATCGCCTCAGTAATAGTGGCCACCGGGATATTGTCAGGTTCATGTTTGATATTCACATCAGCGATGTCAAGAGTGACAACTTGGGGCTGGGGCTTCACCTGGGCATATAAGTTGGGCTTGTATAAGGGAAGATTGAATTTACTTAGGCATGGTTATGTCAAACATCGTACTCTCGTACGTGTGCTGAAATGCCCAAGCTTGCCTAAGATTGCCCAATCTGTCCTTATTTGGATAAAAGATTGGTCATACCATTGATCTTTACAAAGGTACAAGATTGTACCTAGTACGGAGGATATCAAAAGTAGATGGAAGGGTTTTGATTGGCTTGTGGCCTAAGGCATGCTCATTACATAACCAATATTGAAAGTGGCGCCGCGCCAGGCGCAGAAACAGCTGACCCACCTGGACTGTCCCCGCATTGCTCGTTCCTCAAGGCCTTAAAAGACTTAGTTTGCTGATCTCAAATGATCCATCCCCCTTGCTCTCTTTTTTTCTTTTTGATCTTTGCTTTGGAGTTTTTTGCTTCGATTCAATGTCCCATCCCCTCTTTCCCTGATTTGCAATGCCGACTCCGAGTAACAACTCGATCGCCGCAGCGATCGCCCGCACGACATGTCCACCGGAGCCCGAAAGGATCTCGGCTTGGCGAGAATCTCCCGATACTGTATCGAATAGCTATCCTCTCGATTCTCCTTCGCCTGAAATGCCAATTGCGCCCTCGATGCCCAGTCAATCTGATGGTGGCAGCACCCCCGAGCCGATGAAGGCGGAAGGAAAGCCGACGGGCATCGAGGAAGATGACCCAGTCCGGGCTACCTCCCCTGCCGAGTCAACCTGCCCTCGCAGCCAGTCACCAGCAGCGACCCCGGGATCCTCACTTCTCAACTGGGAATTCTCCAACGTTCGTGTAAGTGTTGAGATCGATTCTATCACAGTATCATCCACTGACCATCGTCATAGCTTCTGCCGAACCATACCTCATTTCTTCGTTCAGGCAGCAAATTCGCCGGAACTCAACAATCAGACCGCCAAGTTTACAATGTCGACGTCGAGATTAAGCATGTGGATATGGCCGAGTCGTATCTCTGTGGCTATCTTAGAATCCAAGGTATGTGATTCGTGCGCACGTGCATTGGACCTAGCTCAACTAATATTTGTTGTTCTCCACAGGCCTGACAGAAGATCACCCTACCTTGACTACCTTTTTTGAAGGAGAAATCATCGGTACTAAACATACTTTCCAGACTCGTAATGAGGAATGGGGTGCCTCGGAAAAGACAGACTTGCACCATTGGTCTCGGTTTCCTGCCTGGCGTCCGCTGGCTAAACAGGCCAAACGGGCGGATTTCACATACCGTAACTTCGCCCAGCGTGAACACATATTCATGAGATGGAAGGAATCTTTTCTTGTTCCCGACCATCGAGTACGGACGATCTCAGGTGCTAGCTTTGAAGGGTTCTATTACATCTGCTTCAACCAGATTGAGGGAACTGTGAGCGGCGTATACTTCCATGCGAAGAGCGAGCGGTAGGTGGATGTTCTATTCCCGAAAATTCTCGATTTTGCGGATGCTAATTTCATTACAGATTCCAACAGCTCGAACTCAAGCATGTCGAAGATCGTGGATGCGCACCAGCAGTCGAGTTCCGCTAAATATCGCCGAGTTTGCTTGCTGGTGCCTAAATCGACCTCATGTATGGATGGCTTCCTACCTGACTAATTGGTCCTCGTGTGTCTCGTATTCCTCTTATTGTGTCTGGTACCACATGGCTAAGCAGTGCTTCCTGGTCACCATCTCGAATGAGAAGCTTGGATCCCTCAAAACTCCATTGGGTTCACTATCCCGTTTGCTTTTCCTCAATACCCTCCACGCCAACCTCTTTTTCCCACGGTCTCCTCCCTCTCATGTTTATGTGTTTGATCATCCTTTTGACCACCCATGTTATTTGAGGATTTCCAAACCCACATTTCAGGAAAAGCCTACATCCACACAACTCATCCTCCAATTGACCTCATGTCTCACGATATTGCAATCTACGAAACGGCGTTTCCGTCCCCACTTCCGGCGACCTGGTTCTGGTTACCCTACATCCTCTGTTTGGAGTCCTAATCTCATCTTTTTCCTTCTTGTTTTCTTATTCCTCACCTATCTTGTGTTAACTTAGTCTTATTATCTTCCATGTGAGCTGTTGGCTGACCAGCCTGGTTATTGAAATTTTTCACTGCGTGTTCTTGGTAGTCGTATATATGCGTCAAGGCTCTAGAGCTATATTGATACTTTGCTATATAGCTCCTTCGCTGGCCCACCCATATAATAGAGTACGGCGCAGAAAGCAACGGTCGTTCTTGATGAATCGAGTCGACTCACGAGAGCTAGTAAAACTGAGATAAGTGTGTAGATTGTGAGTCATGTACGCCTATCCATGGATGTACGAGGTCCTACATCCATGAATATATACATATTGTAGCAGTATGTATTGGATTTTAGGCTGCGGATGCGAATTTCCTGATGGGGGTGCCGCCGCTTTATGAGGGCGCTCAGGGTCCTGCTCATTGAGTATTTCACAGTATAGAGTGATCACTCTGTGTACTCAAGGGTACCGTAATTCCTAGTTAAACCGTACACCTAAAACACCATAGTAAATGTGAATTTTGAGGTTGCTGTATATCAACCACATAAAGTTCATTTTGCCTGACTTTTGGTAAGATAGTGCTTTTTAGGAGTAGTCCGTTCCATTCATTGTGTTACGCTCTGGGATCACCACGACACAGAAGGTTACATGAACTATACCGAATGGTTATGGATCACTAACAAAGGCACATATTATCAATTTCTATATTGCTAATGTACACAATTCATCAATTTAGGCAGGCTAATCTATTTTCGCAGGAATTTGGGCTCAACTGCTGTCCAGTACAATAACTTCAGCCTCAACCTCACCAACACTCTCCACACGGAGGGCATCGCCAGCATTAACCATCGTGACAAAAGCACCATCGCCTTCTTCGAGCACAGCATCCTCCCGACCATCAAGCATGATCTTGGACTTGCCCTGCTTGGTCATAGGGAGGTGAACGTAAACATTTCGCTTTTTCTTAGACTCAACAGCTTCGCCAGCACCAACAGTCCAATTGAATGTTGAAGCGGGCTCGATAATTCCAGCCCCCATGACAAAGTCAGCATGGATGGGGATGGTGCCAGGAATCTTAGGAGCAGCGGTCTCTTCCTGTGCCGGGGTTGCTTGAGGACCCGCAGCAAGTGGCGACAAAATAGGAACGAAGGCTTTGCGCTTCGCTTCCTCGCTAAAAGTCATTGTATGGTACTGGGGCTTGAGGCCATACTTCCAGGGGAGTACCCAGATCTGGAGGAAGTGCACCGACTTGTTGGATTCGTTCTGCTCCGAGTGCGCAATCCCTGTCTCATGTCAGCTTCGGTTCGATATCGGCTAAAATGGAAGCTCAAGAGGTTTACCTGTTCCGCCAGTGGTGAACTGCACATCACCCCGCTGCATGCGGTAGAATTGTTTCCCTTGCCCGGCCTCCGCACCCTTTTTAATCATGCTGTCACGGTGCGTGAGCTCGCCATTCAGGATATAGCTAAAGATCTCCGCGTCGCGGTGGGGATGTGTTGGGAAGCCATTTCGTGCTGCGACGCGGTCCTCATTTAGTACACGTAGACTTCCAAAGTTCTGGAATCGGTGGTCGTAATAGCTGGCAAAGCTGAAAGTGTGGAATGATTTGAGCCAGCCGCCATGTTCAGCGTATCCACGTTCGCTAGAGAGGCGGGGAACAATCTTGGCGTGGGCGAGTGGGTTTGGCATAATAGTTTGAGAGGGTTGGGTCAAATAATATGCGAGTAATGAAAGTGCTGTCGAGTAGATTTATTTCTGCTAAGTGAGCAAAATTCAACAAGGGTCCAATGGTTTTATATAGGCTGCGATTAAGTACTCTAGAGAGCTCCAGAACCTTAGAAATTCATCTTCTGGATTATGGAAGCATTATCCATCATCAATAAGAGTGACGCTAGGCCCAAAGCGGACCTCGGGAGTAATGGATCATCTAATCATGACTGACATTGGGTGGCATTTTTTGGTAATTTGGGAAGCAAGACAATAGCGCATTCAGATTTGCTGAAAGGTATATGTGAACGACCGCATTAGGATGGGGCTAGCGTCGTGCATTCCATTAAGGTGAGCTGCTATAGTTACTCCAACTTTACTCAGGTGACGCTTAACCTGATCAGTTCGGTGATTATGCAATACTTAGGAGCGACGGGTGCAAGGGCCTAGGTGAGCGCTAAAGCGGAAAGGGAAATCCAACTTGCGCTAAAATCCGGTGTATATGTATCTACCGCTGACTGGCAACGCTAAATGATCTGATCTAGTAATATAACCAAGTGAAACGTTTGGATTCAGATGCACAAATGCAATTAACGCGTATATATGTGCTAGAAATGAATTATGGACCAACAGATACTATAACAGACTTGACCCCGATCCGTTTACATCCGAGGGCCATAGTGAGAAATGTCGATAGATCCTTGCACCGAACATAAAAAACCAGGCGTGGAAAAAGCATGATAAATAAGAATCAAGGAACCCAAAAAATTTGATATGAGTTCCAAGAAATAAATGAAGAGATGATTGCGGACGTGAGATGGCGTTATGGTATGGCTTTGGCGAACAAAAGACGTTAAAGCAAGAAAAGAGGCGAGAAGGGGTATCACATGCGATGTCAGTCGAGGATGGCGAGATCGAGCGAGTGTGGATGGAAAAAACACTTTTAGGTCCCATGATGATCAAAGTGCAGATGTTGCCCACGTAAATAGGGCAACACCATGGAGGTAGAGATCAGGAAGAAAGGAATGGCGTGAGAAAGAGAAAATCACATATATGTCGAGTTTTGACGAGAGCTTGAGTTGGAACCGCTGCTATACTCGCTGCCCGGAGTAGGGGACTCTAAGACGACTTGTTGACGAATGGAGATGATCCACTCGTGCTGGAGGAGTTCGGCGGCAGTGGCGCGGCGAGCGGGATCGCATTCGAAACAGCGGCGCACGAAGTCGATGCCCTGGTCGCTGAGTTGGTCGCGAGATGGAAGCGTGGGCTGTTTGCCCTGGGCGATGTTGTACATAATTGCCCACTCGTTGTCCAGTGTGGACCATGGCCGGCGCCCGGTTGCCATTTCTAGGATCACGCAGCCCAGAGACCAGATATCCACAGCTCCTTCGCGGTTGTCTAGATTTGCATCGCCACGGATCACTTCGGGTGACATGTACATTGGGGTTCCTGTGGTGGTCTTCTGGTTTTTGCGCTGGTTGGTGGGGTCTTTGGCCGACTCCTTGAAACCGCCTAGTTGAGGGTTGTCCATTGGGGCAACTGTGCGGCCCGAACGAGCGATGATCTTGGCTGCACCGAAATCAACGTACTTAATGACACCGTTGTGGTCGAGCAGGATGTTCTCGGGTTTGATGTCACGGTGTACGATATGCGCTTCGTGGAGATACGCTAGACCCTCTAGGAGTTGAAGAGCATAAACCATGATGACCGTTTCGTCCTCGATACGCCCGTGCTCTAGCAAGCTAGCGAGTGAGCCACCTGAGCAGTACTCCATGAAGATGTAAACCTTGTCACGGTGCACCTCAATGCCGTGGTAGGAGACAATGTTCGGATGATCGAGCACTTCAAGCACGCCCATTTCGTCTCGGATCTGCTGGGCGATCTTGGGAATGAGCTGGGGGGTCTTGCAGGCGAATTTCCTTGACAGCCATCAAATAGTTGCTGTCCAAGTTGATAGCAACATAGACAGACCCAAATGTACCACCACCGATGAACTGGCCTTGCTGCCAACGCAGAGTAACATTGGTAGCCGATGAAGATAGCACGGTGAGTGACCGATCAGCTTCATCAGATCCTTCTAGTACCTTTCCTAGAGCCTGGCGCTTCGCATCTTCCTCAATTCTCCTCTCTTCAATCTCCATAACACGCGCGTACCATGTGTCGCGAACGAGTCTTGATGCTTCCTCGTCGCTGGTGATCCGACCAGCGCCAATCTGTCGGGATCCATTGCGTTCCTCCATGCGTTTCTCGTTCTTCGCCGCAAGGGAAGACCGCGCACCCATGATATCGAAATGAGAAATGAGGAGGGACATACACCCTGCCACCTTCAACCTGAAATCACTGAACTGGTCTTGGTCCATAGACAGGAGATGTCGGCTGGATGTGATCGCCATCGCAAACTCGAGTGCTGCGACAGCCCACTTGAAAGTTTTTCGGTCTGCAGCGTCACACTCATCACAGATGAACGCGACCCAGTCAAGAGACAACTCCACCAGCCTGGCACTGTTCATAGCGCGCCTGTTAGCATCGACATAGTTGGAGGACCGTTTGCCAAACTCTGTTGCGAATGCATAGCAGGCCTGAATCAAATCATTGTTCTCCCAGTTTCTCTCATGTAGCTGATCTTTGATGATGGCCACACTATCCATAATAGTCATGGATAGTTTGAAAGAAATCTTCTTGATCTTGTTCAACTCGACGTTCACACGTCCAAGGTTTGCACGTTGTTCAATGACCATATCAAGTTGGATGCCCGTGAGTCGTGCGAGCTCCGCACGTGCATTCTGCAGTCGTTCTTGCATGCCCCCAACAACGATACGTAGCTTGCCCAGCCGCACATCCGTTGGATGTTCCAAGAACTCCATTTGCATTTCCTTTCCTGCCCAGGCAAGGGGCCTTTCGGGTCGGATAGCCAGAACATAGGGAACATGGACATCCTGGTTTGGATCATCTTCTTTGAAGGAGGTAGATAAGATACCCTGGATATCAGCGGGGCGGTTCCATAGGGCACGGTGTGCGACCAGATAGACTCCTTTTTGCCCTACGGATGTGGTAGAGGTCACAAGGAAATGGTCTGAGATTAAGAGTGCCTCGAAGAAATCATAAGCGATATCGGTCGTGATGTTGTATTCGGTAGCGTTTTCGAACAACTGGCACAAAAACTTGGAGAATCGATAGAGCTTGCGTTGACGAATTCGCGTGGAATCCAAAATGCTCTTGTATCGTTTGTCCATATCCTGTACAGTTTCCGTGGGCCTGGGGACGAGTTCACGTTCAAAATGAATCATGAGACGCTGCAGGGATCTGGCAGTGAGTGCACTGTTGTTCTTGTCAGCTTTGTTAATTGTGCAAATCACGGGGACCATACCTAAATTGTTCGGCCACCTCAATATCTCCACCGTCAAGCCGGCAACCAATATCATAGGAGAACCCCCATTCCTGTTCCAGAATTTCGGCCTCTTTGAAAGTGTTCTTGTTGGCATTCAGCTTCCAGTTGAGCAGTCGGAAATAGTATTTCATGGCATCCAAGACCGAATTGTCAAAGTTCTCATCGACACATGGCGGCAAATCCCAGCCGGGTTCTGGCCTCGAAACATCAAGGTAGCGGAACTTGATATCAACCGCCACTTTCATCAGGATTTGGAATTGGGAAATCATCTGATCAATCAAAATGGGGGCTTGCTGTGCTGGGTCTTTCATGTTCTTCGCATAGGATAGACGGACTCGAATGATTTCCTGGATCAACCGAGAGGGGAAGTTAATCAATGTTAGTAGTTCTTCGATATATGGTGGCAGGTGCCGCGCGGCAAACGCTTCTGAGTTCTCGATCAGAGTACTCTTCGCTTTCTGAATGACGACGAGAATGCGAAGAAGCATGCCGTCCTTGTCCTGGAGAGTCTTCAGGCCATCTTCCTTCATAATGCGATCAAGGAAGGACGACCCATCCGAAAGATCATCTTTGGCAGACTTGACCCTCGGCTGGCTGAAATCAAGAGCCTCGTTCCCTACCCAGCTCTGCAGCACGGCCAGCTCGGTGTTGATGAGAGCCGTGATGTTGTGCCATGCAAATATGGCCGCGCGACTAGAGTTAAATTCCTCCGAGGCGACACGAGGGTTGGCAGCTTCCATTTCCTTGTGCGAAGAGTACAGAATCTCGCATCGCTCGACCTTCTCCACAATATCCTCGACTTGCTGTTTTGGCGGTTTCCCGATCTCCGTTTCTCCTTTAATCTGGAATCCGATGATATCCTCGATAATCGGACCCAGACGTGACCGTGCATCCTCAATCAACTTTCGCTGCAAAGGAATACTTCGGCCGCATGTCCTTGCCCGAACTCCGATCCAAAGTGCATAGCTCTGGGCCGCCGACCGTTTCGATTCCGCAGATCCTATGAGTCGTTGCTTTTCTTGTTTCACTACATCTCCCTTCAAGACCGACGCCAGCATGGAATGCCACTCAAGCCGCTCCTGGTTCTTGGGATGCTTCAGTTCTTCCGCGCTTGGTAAATTGTCGTCCGGGAGGAAAAGTTGGGTATCAGGGTCGTAAGAATCATCTTCAAAGGCCACTTCGGAGGAAGGAGAGGGGTCTTCCAAGTCACCATCCCCTTCTGTCATGATGTTGGGTGGCGCGTCTTTGGAATGATGATACCAGGCTTGTGGGTTCGCTCGAATTCGTTGGACGTAGGCTTTCTCTTGGGCACGGTATTGCGCGTTCGGATCCCGTCGGTTTCCTCGTTTAGCTGATGATGATCGCTGGCGGTCTTCTTGAAGGCTGATGTACTGCGGTGGGCGGCGCTGTGGGGCATACGTATTCGACGGCGTTCGAACCGGGGCGGACGGGCGCTGAGGTCGTAAGTCGCTAGCCATTGGAAGTCCATCGGGCTTGTCAATGAGAGTGGTAGCGCCAATGCTAATCCCACGTGGCCGTGCCGTCGGCGTATTAGACCATGAGGGAATACTGGGTGAAAGATTTGGAGGGGAAGATGTGATAGTGCTTGCAGGTGTCTGGATTTGCTCGTCGACGGTCTCTCCAAATGATGAGTTGTTCCTCACAGGGTACTGAGGAAATTCATCAGAAGAGCCTGAGCCATCCGAATCAGGACTGGGAATTTCCGGATGCTGCATGGTGGTCATACCGTGCGATGGTCCGGGAGAGCACGCCTTGACTGTAGGACCAAGGTGATAGGAGGCGGATGCTGTGGCGGTGCGTTGTGGCTAACCGAATGATCCATCCATGGGATGTCCCCACCTATTACTGTTCGATCTACTGCGAATCTTTCCTGTCTCGACTTTCCATTTATATTAAGTCCAAGCTCTGGTACGGAGTACACGCGTCCAATCTTGAAAGCCAGCTACTTCATTGTACTCCGTACCCCGTCCACAATATGTGATCCAGCATGCTCCATCTTTCTAAAATCTTATACGATATTTGCTTGTTCGTGGCTCTTTTTGTATTCTAGATTATAAAAACCTGCACGCCCTGCCCAATTCAAGGCTACTAAATACATGTAGGTTCTACCTATTAGGTCTATTATCATCTCATACCCGTGCCGTTTGTGTTGAGGTTTCAAATTAGCAAGGATATTGTTCTCCAACCCTTAAGAGGTCCGTTGGATATTTATTACGTGTTTTCTAAGACCTGCTTCTTCTAGTTCAATGTAGGGTCTTTCTCACATTACACCACAACGCTAGGTGACGAATTGGGCGCTGAAAATGGTTACTTCTGACGCCAGAGAAGTGTCTTGCTACTCTCTGAGTCCTTCCGAACTCCAGTCTTTACAGTTTCTTTGAGTATTATCGAAGGCGTCGCCAGCAACTGGAGAAAGGTATTGTCCTCTATGCAATAGTCGCTGCCGGTACTGGCGAACCATATTCACATAGATTCAAGAAGTGCCTTTATCAAGAGCAATGATGAAGCTAGAAAGGGATGTGCTAGATGGACTCCCCCTCTATATGAGCTACATTTTCCAGCCCCCCATGCCCGACCGACATCGACCTTTCGAAGGAACATTGTTTGGCTGTACGCTGTCATGAACCCATACTTGAGACGCATGTCAAACATGTATTCAGCAATTTGGCCTATATATGTGTGAGCACGAGAATCAAACATGGTGGCGTAGGTCTGACCTAGTTGGTGCCGAAAGAGTCTCTCATCGCCAGCCTCAAAGTTCCAAACTGCATTGTCCAGGTCATGCCATCTATCCAGAGTGTCTTGACTTCTCCCACGACCTTGGCTACGTCCGAACTAGTCTTCATGACAAAATCGGGTTTTCGCAAGTAGCCAGGATACGGCGGCAAGGCACCCCGGGAGTCTCCCAGCACAAGGTCTAGCTGCTGGGTACGAAAAGCGGCGCCCAAAACGAGTCCGGCTCGCCCTTCTAGCCTGCCTTGCACTCCTCGTTCGTTGGAGACGAAGACCTACTCCTCGTCGACAGAGCCGGCGGCAGCAGGCCCCGTTATCCGGGAGTCTAGATGTTGCAGGCTCCACGTTTGGGCATTAAAGGTGGTGTTCATGACATCTGACTCGAAGTTTGCCCATGGTTGTAGAACTCCACCGAAATGAACGCGGTACAAGGCGTGACTCGTGGTGCGGTGGGGGCTGATGTTGAGATCGGGGAGGGGCTAGAGTAAGAGGTCTCGTGAGTTGAAAACGGCGGTGGTGGCCATGGCCATGGTGTTGGTGGTGGTAGTTTTGCGATTCTGGTGCGTTGATGAGAAGTGAGCCAAACGTTGTGATGGATAAAGGGCAGGGAGGCGAGAACATACGAGGAGGTGAGCTTTGAAATGCTGATAGAGTTGATTAAGAGGTGATGCGCTATATGATCAAGAGGTGATGCGCTATATGATCAAGAAGTGATTCGCTATTGATCAAGAAGTGATTCGATATTGATCAAGAAGTGAGGGTTCAGCGATTCCAATGTGAGGAAGACGTCTCTCTCTTTCGCTACGATCAGGGCGTCTTCGACGAGTATTCACCGAGCCTGTGGCCCTCTCAACACAATAGAACTTAGAGAGGGCCAGTAGTTGTAAAAAGACGAGATTTCATACGACTCATCTACCTTATAGATGAATGCCAGAAAATAATAAAGTATATGATAGTCGATCCCCGAGTGGACACGACGCGTCTTAGCAGCCCCAATCTCGACCGCCTCGATGCTCGACTTCCCCCTTCTCACCAAGTGTTCAGCCTCACCTCACCTCCAGAGACGTGCAGGAGCCAGGGGTCAATGGATATCTCCATGCACTGAGAACTGAGCATGCCCTCCCCATTGACCGTCACGTTCGTTCAATCGACCGTCCTCAATGCCATCTCCAACGTCCTAGCGCAGCTCATCGACCAGCGCAAGAACACCGTACCGCCAATCGACGGTATCGTTCTCGAGGATTTCCCAGCCCCCAATACCAACTATCGCCAGTTTTTCCTCGGTGACAACAAGCAGCTAAACACTCGCCCTTCCGCAGAGCTTGCTGACCTCATATGGTCTGGAAGATCGTTACAGTATCGCCGAATACGACTATACGTTTGACAAGCCAGCGTGTTTGATCGGTCTGCCAAAGGCTGTTGTGTACATGTCTTGCGAGGACCGCGGCGACTTCACAGTGTTTGTCTTTCAGACTAGCATTAAGAGAGTAAGTGGAAGAGAACGTAGGGACGAGGTATTTTCACATTCTTAGGCAGGATTAAAGGAATCGAGTCAATCGACGTTAGGAAAGTAGGGCGCGTTATCACAGCTTCGGGACTAAGTCATCTGCTGACCTAGGGCCCTAGGAGCGAGTAGGCTGCAGCGCGGTTACCCTCGGAGCAGGTAAAAGGTGGTAAAAGGCCAGAAAACGAGATTAGGAATGAAAGGGGCTAGTCAGGGGTGAGTGACGGCGTGAGCGCTCACCGATATTACATATGTAGTCTCTTCTGACATATGTGAAGGAAACCTCGAGTAGACAAAATAGACAATAATGTGGATGGAAACTAGCATACCTACATTGCTGGCTAACGAGACAAATTCAATTTGTGAGAAATGGTTAGAACAAAGTTTAAGTGGGAACTAGGGTGTGTACTTCCTTCAAAATCGCTCTATAAACATGGAGTACTAGTTAGTTAGGCGGGATATTGGAACTACGGGAAATCACTTGATTATCAAATGCAATGGAAAGAACCTTGGAAGTATTCATTCCATCAATAACTAGATAGCCAAAATTCTCCTCAGAATGACTTAGTATTGCTTTATCTATTTGCTACGGTTGACGGTTGTTGTGACACCACAGCAAGCAAATTTTAACAAGCGAGCACATACATTTGGATATTTGTTAACCGATGAGGGAGAGAGAACATGTAATGTACGTTTGTATGTGCCTATTGGGACAAGATGTTGAAAACATAACCATCCATGCTACCAGATGCTACCTGAAACTAGAGAAATGAGCATATGACATGACTGGGCATGTTAGAACTTTCGTTGAAGAGCTAGTATCTATTTTCAAACTATACAGATTTTTGCCCCTGGCTAGGGCAACATTGCGTTTAGTATGGAGTACTCCGAACTCCGTATATATATCGAAGTAGGTATGTACATTGTAGATTCAACGTCGATCAGTGGATCAGTGGATTCATAATCGAGGATCATGCTCTAGGGACATCATCTGCATAGACTAATAACCCAAGCAGCATTGAAGAGGCTATACATCACCTTTCCTAGGTGTGATCAGAGGCAAATCACTGCGGAATGAAGCACATAGCATGCCTAACCTGACCTCTAACGCTCCGACTTACTTTGTAGATATACAAGATGATCAAGCCTCCGATTTTGCTATTGACAAAAACAAAAGCAAGAAGACCAATAGCGCAAAAACTCGGCATATATTCATAGATCTACAATGTGATGTTAAGTAGAGTCCTTGACTTATTGGCCCGAGAGTTCGCCAAGGTCCAAGTCGGGATGCCGAATCAGCCTCTAATATTCCCGCCAATGAAAGACTGGATGCTTATCTTGACCTTGACTTGGTGTACTTTTGTAGACCTCGGGACCCCCTACATTGTAGACTCTGTGGGAAAGAGTTTAGTTTTCCCGCCCCATGCGTTCTGCATCGTGTGGAACCGGGTGTGACAGACCCGGAGAATGGGGGGGGGAGCCACTAAGAGATGATGCGGAGAGAATATGCGACCTGCAGGGGCAGAAGTATGAATGTTGAACAGTTATGTATAGGCAGATCTTGATGCGAAGATACGTAAAGAAAATTTTACACTATTGCATTATAGCAGTTTTTCCTACAAGTGATTGATCTGTGACCTCTCCCACATTTTCCGAGGCCTTGGATGATAGAAAAGACTCTGTAGCCACTCGCGTTGTCAAATAATGTATACCGAGTAGAAATTGCGCGTGTTGACAATGTACATAGGGATGAGATAAGGGAAATTAAATTGTGATTGGTTGGGGCAACACGAGATTGAACCGATGATAAGAGATCAAACGCCCAGAACAACTTCACGTTGCACATAGCAATATGCAATTATTATGGAAACTACTATATCCAAGGCACCGGGTCAGTTTCCATTCAATAAGACAGTCGACTTCCAATGTTATTAAACAACGGATGAAGCCACAGAAACTTCCAAGGTTGAGAATGATAAGCAAATGCCTCTGATTGGCGGCCTTCAACTTCATATCTACAGCCAGTCGTTGAGCACCCGTCCAATTTCGATCCCTCTTATTTCCTATTATTTCCTATTATTCTTTTCTGTCACTGAAATGACCCAATCTGTTTATCACTTTAGTACTCCGTACGTCAGTTGGACTTTCCCCCTGCTTATTGGGGGTCAAAGCATGGAGAGTAGATCCTTCTTAAGGGAAAATTCATGGATGCACAGATGTACAGAAAAACAGCAGGTAGTTACACTGCAGAGGAAACATGGGTTTGAGAGCAGATACCCGTACGGAGTACAAAGTACAATATCCAAATACAGCTGAAGTATGTAAACGCAAGGACCCGTAATTCCCCGGTCTGGGTCTATGGAGTATATACCATATCGCTATGAACTCGGCATGGTTAAAATGGGGGCGGTCTTGGCTACCTGCTATCAGAGTAGATGAATCATATCAGAAATCAGAATGACCAGCTTCCACTATCGGAACTAAGGTCGATGGTCTGGTAGCGTTCTAGCGTCTGATGGTGGAGCATAGTTGGTTGTCTGAGACTGCCAGTTATTTAATTACCAGTGTTTGTCCTTGCATGTTAGACATATCACTTCTCTCTCCTTTCACAGCCCGGTGCTTGAAAGTACTTTTTTTACTTCTTTCGCTCCATCTCCTATCACAAAGCTACGGGAGACCTCCTGTATCACTCCATTGCGACTGCCTTTCAACTTCCGATAACACTTGCAATACAATTGGCCTAGCCTCGGTCTCATCATGGCCGAATACCCGGTTGAATACAATGGTACCATCGCAACTGGTGGTGACTCCCTTCATGATGACTTGAACATCTTCTATAGTGTATGTTGTGTACCTTTTAGGAGTCAATGGAGGAGCTCCGTAGCTAACAGTGGTAACAGTCTGGTGATATCGCATGGGTCGTTATGTCGACAGCCCTAGTACTGCTGATGATCCCTGGAGTTGGGTATGACTTGACCAACCCCTTCCCTAAACACCCAAGGACTCTCGCTCATTACTTGATTATAGATTCTTCTACTCCGGTCTAGCTCGTCGAAAGTCGGCACTCTCATTGATATGGCTCTCGATCATGTCGGTCGGTGTGGTTTCATTCCAATGGTTCTTCTGGGGTTACTCGCTGGCCTTCTCCCACACAGCCGGCAGCTACATCGGTAACCTCGATAACTTCGGCTTCAAGGGTGTTCTAGGTGCACCTTCTGTGGGAAGCACTAAAGTTCCTGATCTGCTGTTCGCTATCTTCCAGGGCATGTTCGCCGCTATTACGTGAGTCATTATCATCATGCATCCACCCTGTGGATGGAGATCCTATAGAAGCACAAATTAACATCGTCTCCGCAATTAGGGTTGCTCTCGCCGTCGGCGCAGTTGCTGAGCGTGGTCGCATGCTCCCCTGCATTGTCTTCATGTTCATCTGGACCACTATTATCTACGACCCCATCGCCTGCTGGACATGGAACTCGTCGGGATGGGTGTTCAAGCTCGGAGGTCTTGACTTTGCGGGCGGTACTCCCGTCCACATTGCCTCTGGATCTGCCGCCCTCGCCTACTCTTTGATGTTGGGCAAGCGTCGTGGCCATGGCACCCACGAGCTGAACTATCGCCCTCACAATGTAACCCACGTTGTCATCGGCACCGTGTTCCTCTGGGTCGGCTGGTTCGGATTCAATGCTGGATCTGCTCTATCTGCCAATCTTCGTGCAGTGATGGCTGCCGTTGTCACTAACCTTGCTGCCTCCGTTGGAGGTGTGACCTGGTGTTTGATGGACTACAGACTGGAGCGCAAGTGGTCGACTGTTGGCTTCTGCTCTGGTGTCATTGCTGGTCTTGTTGCCATTACCCCGGGCTCTGGATTTGTTACTCCTTGGGCTGCTTTCATCTTTGGTGTTGTCGGTGCTGTTGCATGCAACTATGCTACCAAGCTCAAGTTCCTCCTTCGCGTTGATGACGCTCTCGATATCTTTGCCGTCCACGGTGTCGGTGGCGTGGTTGGAAACCTTCTGACTGGCCTTTTCGCTGCGTGAGTTAAACTACTTCCCGGCAGGATTGTCCGATCATAAACTAACTTGCATTAATAGTGATTACATTGCGCACCTGGACGGTGTCACTGAGATCGATGGCGGCTGGATCAACAAGAACTATATCCAGCTGGGATATCAGCTTGCCGACTCAGTCACAGGAATGGCTTATGCCTTCTTTGGAACCTGTATTATTCTCTTCCTTATGAACCTCATTCCGGGCCTCAGCTTGCGCGCACCCGAGGAAGATGAGATCATGGGTATTGACGACGCCGAAATTGGCGAGTTTGCTGTAAGTATTATTGCTTCTCAGTCGGCCCAAGGGACTTTTTCTGACATTTGTTCTCTAGTATGATTACGTTGAAGTCACCCGCGATGTTGTCAATGGCGTGGAAAGCTCGGAGGCTGGCTCTAAGCGCACTGTTACACCCGTGGGCGAGGTTATTGACACCAAGGCCTAGATCGGACTTGATCTGATAGCTGTTCCTTCTTTAATATCTAATATTAGGCAAATGCCTTTCTTTTTGTTTCACGTTAATTCTTCTTTGTTGGCCGCGGCGGAGTGTCTTGAATGCCTTAGTTATCGAACTATAGGTATCTGGGATGCTCTCCAACGGCCACAGGTGCAATTTTCACTTTGATAGTATTTAGATACCCAAATATCGAGTTTCACGACATCATTCCGGGGAGAAAACCACATTGGCCAGACAAACCGTGACTTTTTATATGGTACGACATAAGCACTGTTCGAACCGGACAGAGGCGAACTGAACGTACTGTAACCATAAGTAGCATGTCAGCATTAATGCGAATACCAGGAAACTAGTACTCTGTAGAGCTGAGCTGTACTAGGTAAAGCTGGAGACCTGGAATGCGGGGCCAGTACCTTCCGGAACGCGGCGCCGAGAGATTTACACGGCGACGGTCGTCGGGAGCTACATACCCTGCTTTCGCGACTCATCGCAAACCTCACCATCTCCAAAACACGTTGCGCACACTTTCCC